ATACTCAGTCCAAATGTTTTAAGAAGCTCAATTTACCAATAATTCAAGTAAAACAAGCATAAAAAATTACCCTCGAAGCGTATGACAGAATCAAAATCTCTCATTTTTATTCCCTTGGGGGAAACATCATGTCTTTCTTCCAATTCATGAATGCTTCTCTTCACGCCCACCGTCTAAAAAACAATCAAAAACCAAGAAAATCAATAATAAAGTTTTAACCAAACCAAACCAAAAAAAAAAGGAAAAGGAGCAAAAACCCAACCTTGGAATCAGATACAGGCATCAAAACGAAACCTTTAGAAACCATGGCAGAATCGGCTTGGTCTTCCATCCCTTTGAGAACCCCAAATTTAAAATTTCAAAAGATCGACAAGAACCGAGTTCCAGCGGGAGAGGGGTTGAGAAAGAATAAAAAAAGCTCCAAACTTTGGAACAAATCGAGAAATTGCTGAAAAGGGTTTTCGAGATTATGTAAAACTGAAAGGAAAGTTCAAAGTGAAGAGAGATTGATGACTTTACTGAGGATCAGATCTGCCGGGTTTTATTTTAATGCTATTGTTGGTTCAAAAATTGAGATTTGGTGTCTGTTTCTTTTGGATTTGAATTCGTACGAGAGGGAGGGAGTTAACAAACGATTTTGTCTCTGAAATTTTTATATGTAAAAAGTAATTTGGATATTTTTGAAGTGAAGTTCATGTGTTTTGGGTGGTTCAATTTCAAATACGGGGTTTAATGGAGGGAGGGAGGGAGTTTCCGCCCCCCGCCTTTGTAAATCACGTGCTCACTTCTCAACCCTTTTGCGACTTATCTTTGTTTACTTTTTTTTATTAAATTAAGACAGATCATAAAATAGTATCAGTTTTGAGTATTTTTAATTATTTAACAATAAAATTTAATCATTTTTACAATTTGATGATGTCTAAAGTCATAAGCTTTATAAATGACAATACTTTTTTAATTATTAAGGTAATTTGATTTTCTTTTACATAAAATATTAGATAGCAATGTATTTCCGCACGTTAGTTTTATATATTTTTAGGATAAATATTTAAATAAAGGTTTCATTTTTTTAGAGTTGTTTACATAAGAGTTTTATCTTTCAAAAATAGTTTTCGAAATTATTTTGTGATTGCTTTAAAATATTGGCTGAACGTATTTTCAAAATATAGAATTGTCATTAATTATTTTAGATCAGATACTATTAAATACATATAAAATAATCGTTTAGAAAAAGTACATCTTTAGGGTGTGTTTGGTTGGGAGAATGTGAAATTCTCATGGGAATGGAATCTACAGTCCCCTGTTTGGTTGGCCGGGAATGTCATTCTCGTAATCTTACATTACTAATAGTGGATTTTTTTGGGTATATTACCGGGAATGTCATTACCTCACTTTCCTTATGTATTGTTGGATTACCAGCGTTTTGGACTAAAATGCCTTAAAAAATTCTTTCAAAAATATTCTTATTCTGTCATTGAATAATAAAAATTCTACAAAGGTTAAATTACAAATTTATCCTTAAACTATTTTAGATTTACAAAAAAAATCTATAATTAAAATTTTATATGAAGTTCAGGGGTTAAAATAAAATTTTACCCTTTCATTAAACCTTTTTATATTTTCAATTTTGTAAAAAAAATTATATAAATTTTATGAATTTAAATTTGTTAAAGAAAATATATAAATATTTTCCAACTTGTTAAAAAAACAAATATATAATACAAACAATTTGGTAAAATATACATTCCAATAATCTTTTATTCCTTTAACCAAACACGGTAATCTTACATTCCTGCTAAACCAACCAAACTCAAAATACAACATTCTCAGTAATCATATTCCCTGGTAATATTTTATTCCCACTGGTAATCTTACATTCCTTGAACCAAAAGCACTCTTGGGTTTAAGTTTAAACCTGGAGTCAAAGTTGAGTTTAATAGTTTATTGCGTGCAAGAAAAGTTAAACTACTCGCGTATAATCCAAAAACTAGTATCTTGTCCGAAAAATACATATTGTATTAACGGTAATTATAATAATAAATATTGATAGTACATACACTAAATAAGTAAATAAATAATATTAGAAGAAATTAATAAATAACATGTTAGGTATAAATTACAATAACTAAAACTTACAATAGTCAAAAGGGCAATTGATATGAAAAAAATATTAAATTGAAAAAATATATAAATTAAGGTGGAAAACACAATAGGAAATTATAAAAAAATAAAGTGAATTATACATTAAAGTAGAGGGGTTAAAATTGCAATTAGCCCAAAGCCAGAAGATGTGGATCCAAAGTGAATTAGGCCGAATCAGTCACAAGTTAAACACCAGATTGAACATCCAAAATGATATCATTTTCAGTCTAAACAGTGTCCAAAATGATATTATTTTTTGGAAGATTTAATACTATATTTTTAATTTATATTTTATCTCTTCTTTTATTTTTTATCTATTTTTTTCAGCGTCCCGTGTCTCTAAATAAGATTTAGGATATGGTGGAAAACTATCATCGGTTGTCATGTCTTCTTTTAGAAATGGTCGTATCGGCGAAAGTTATCGATGGTCGATAAAATCTAAAAGTAAACAATATTTATATTTCAATTAGATAAATGTTTTATTAAAAAATTGCTTTAAATTGTGTGATTATGTATCGAGATCATTCAAGTTTCCTTCCTCCAATTTATGTTGTCAACCATGCGATATAATTATATGTCATATATGTTGTTTTATTGAGGTTTAAACTCCTTGCAGTTTGAATTAATAAAATAAAGCTTTGATCAAAGAATAAACACTATATTTTATCTCCTTTGATTTGTGCTCATTGTTTTCTTCTATCCATCATTTTCTTTCTTCTCTCCTTTTCTCAGGTTCTCCTGTCCTCTCTTTATTAGAAGCAAGGTTTAAATAGAAGAATTTTAGGGTGCTTGTTGAATGGTTCATGGTGGTTTAGGGAAAGGTATATACAAGGTAGTATTGTTCGAAGATATCTCTCAATAATTTGGCATTGAACGATCATACCCTTAGCATTTATGGTACTCAAACTCGGAATCTTAAGAAATAACAATAATACTTTTACTACTGAGATTTATTGGTTCATGTGAGAAGTTTAATTTTGGGGATTATTATGTCAATGTAGATAAAGGATTATCAGAAGAATAAGAGATGATAACTCTTTTGTTGGGTTTGGATCATGGTTTATTAGAATTCAAGTTTTAATGTTGGGTTGATTTGTTTCCGACTATTTGAATTGGGCTTTTAGGTTAGCCCGTAGCATGTCTAGGCTTGGACTAAGTGAAAATTGGTGTTAACTAGGGATTTAAACAGTGGTATGTGATAAAAAAAGGTTGTTATATATTGATAAGCGTATCATACGAAATTGTCACATCACAATTATGAAACTCACGATGACTGTAATAACATTTATTATTGTCAGAATCGTAATAAACTTAACGTAATCAAAAATGCGGAATTTAAATTCATGTGATAATAGTTTTCCTTTGGCCTATTGTTGATTAATAGTGGTAGAAACAAGATCAAAAAGTAATGAATTTATCTGATCACAAATTTGATCCGATAACAAGGTGATGATGATCCACTCTTCTGCGCCCGAAGAGGTAGGATTCTAATGATGACAGTTCACTCCTCTATACTTAAAGATGTCAGACTCTAAAGTCGCTTCGAGTGTGTCATGCTTTTAAGATGATATTTCACTTCTTTGCCTTCGAAAGAGGTATGATTTATTAAAGATAATATATTCATTCGTGAACTAATGATATCAGACTCTAATTGTGATATTTCAATGATTTGCAATTAAAGATATAAGATTTGTTGAAGATAATATGTTTATTCACATACGAAGATAGCAGTGAGTAAAACTTTGACATAGAAAATTATTACCATCTTTATTAACTTTTTAAAAGTTAAATTTTGACACGATTGTTTTAAATATTTTAACCGATTAAATTTTCTAAAATACATATTTTAACCGATTTACCTAAGTGGTTAAAGAAATCGTTGTTATTCCTAGAGTTCACGGTTTGAGCATCAACGGCTGTAGCAGAGTGATTGAACGTTGATTATCAAATAATTGAGAGTATTTAAAACATATACTACTTTGTAATCACCTTAGTTTAATCAAAAAATAAATATATTTTTATCGATAATAAATTTTAAACAATAATAAGTAAAAGTTTTAATAAAAAAATCAACAATAAACATATTTAATAAGATAAAAGAAGCATCATTTATAAAGAGTAAACTCTTTAATTTGTAATTAAAATTATTTGTATTGTTCTTTTATATATTTTTCATCGTATTTTTTCTTTCATTTGTAATTAAAATGATTCGTATTGTTCTTTTATATACTTCTCATTGTATTTTTTTTTCTTCTCAAGTGTATATATTGGGCGATTAAAACTTGATTTAAAGTTTGGATAGAAACCATAATAAATAATTATGAGGTCCAATATAATTTTCTAATTCAAATCGAGTAACAAATTCATATGTAATTCTTTCAGCAAGAGCAGATTTTTGACTTTATTAATTGAATTCAAGAAATATTTAGATATAGTCTATGGTGGACAATCATTGGGTGGAACAAGTCATTATCTTCCCTTGGGGCCTCATGAGATGCTTAACTTGACCACAAAAATGGAACCCCCCACGCGAAATCCATGCATCAGAAAGCTGACGGAGATTTGATTTCTTCGAAAACATTTGGATTGAATTGGCCGGAAATAGATTCTTAATATTCAACTTGTTTTGTTTTTATGAAACATGAATCTATGGGGATTGCAGGATCAAATCGAAAAGAAAATCATTCCTGGCAACTTTCTTTTGATCCAAACATGCAGTGATGGTTAAGAACCGACCAATCTAATTTTTGAATTCTTGATTTCTCTAAGAATCTGAGATGAATCAAGAGGACCACAGTCACACATTCAAAGGCCCTACAAATTACTACCAATAATACCTTATTAACAGAGAAAAATTAGAAGAAAAAAGAATCAAATGTGTTCATTTAGGTTGAATTCCCCTGCAACAGCCAACAATTCTTGAGCTGAGAAAAAGCAGTTTCCCTGAAACTCTGAACCTTCACCAAACAAAAATGGGTGCAATTTACCCCTAGCCCCGAACTCGCTCTACAAGTCTTCAACAGATAGCAGGCCGGAGCAAGCCCACGCCCACGCCCTTGGCCTTGTACCACAATCCCCCATGCCCTGCAACACGCATCGCCCTTTTCATCATCATCTTCTTCTTCCTGTATTTGCTCTACAAAAATCACCCCATCAGGCATTGGACTCTCACCTTTCTCCCATTTTTGTTTCACCGAAACCCAGTTGCTTTCATCGGCTTTTTCCGTTCTGGTTCTCGTCGTGTTGTCGTCTTCGGAGTACACGTGGACCAATAGAGGCGATTCCGATAAATTTTTGACGATATCGGCGACTGAATCTCTCATCCACTCGTCGATCTTATGGTAGAGCAATTCGTTACTTTTCTTCTCTTGTTGTTTGGGCAACGGTTGGAGATTTACCTTGGATGTGGAGATCTTGGTCGGCGGTCTCGGTTTCAACGATTGTGGATTTGAAACCATGAAAGAACTTGGACGTGCGTATGGGTTATGGGAGTTGAAGAGATGGGAGGGTTCTTGGCGTTGAAGACAAACGTTTCCACCGCAAGAAACGCCGCCTGCCGCCGCCATTATTGATGTTCTTGTTCCCCTGGGAAATTAACCCTGCCGTGTCCAAGGCAACAACAACAACGATGAACGGAGATTGAAGAAATCAATTGGTGTTTAATTAGATTGCACGATTGTAGCTTTGATTGATTTATATAGAGAGAGAGTTTTGGATTCGGCGGATGGAAAGAGGTTCTCTTTACTTCAAGGTTGTTTTGGCTTCCACGAATTTACCACTCGGGGTTTGATTCTCTACTCCTATCCACACGGAAAATTCGTGCAACCCATTACTCAAAATGTGGAATGTTTAATTAAAAGTGACAACTACTTATTAATACGGCGATAAATAAAAATTATTCTTACTTAATATACTTAATTTCTTTTGAAATATTTGATTTGTTTAATTAAATCAGATTCATAAAAATAATATAAATATAAATTTTATTTATATAGATATTTATTACGATCTAAATTTAATCTATTAAATGTGATTTTAATGTACTTAATTTTTAGGATTTTAAAATTTATCAGAATTAAAATTTTATATAAAACTTATTTTTCATACCTATAAATAAGAAGTTGAAGAAGATTTTATAAATTTTCTCCTCCTCCTCGTATTTCTTTTTCTTTTTCTTGTTTTTTATTTCATAACAGAAAAATCAAATTAAAATATATAAAAATGCTCTGAAATTAAAACATGGACATTTAAATATCTTTAGGGATGACATGATCAAACGCTAAAATTTCTGATAAAAGATTCACTTAAATTGTTGAAAAAATTCCCTCATATATTGTCAAGTCAAGTAAGAAATTTATAAGCTGGAGTTAATTCATATTAAAACATAAGTTTTTAAAATAATTTATGTAACATAAATTCATTGATATTTTGTTTTCTTATCAACTCTGTTATGGACATACTACTCACAGAATCAAATTCAATAAAATTATAAGTTGAAAAAGATTGATAATAAAGAAAGTAGAAACATATTGAAAGCATATATATATATATTAAAAAAAGAGAAATTATAATTATGGACTCTAGCCTGATATATATTGGCCGATAGTACAAGTTAGAGAAAACGTAGAGGATAATTACCTAAGTGGCAGTACCCAAAAAGGCGGGTCCTTTTCTGTAACTGAAACGTTCTTCATGATGTCTGGTCACGTATGGCTGTGGGATAATCACGACCGTTGAAGTTTGATCAGACGTTGGTAGATGGAGAATAGGACGGTTGGTTATGGCACGTGGTCGCACGCCTTCGTTGCATGCAGAGTGTACGCGGGCACACGCACCGCCCTCCCCCAAATCGTTTTTCTTAAACGTTAGCCATGTGACTTCCATGTCAACATGATATTTAAAATGTGCTCTTTTATATGATATTTAAAATGTTGTCTTTGTGGTGCTGTTGAGGAGATTGTCATGCATTCTTGCGTGTGACTGTTCGGTAATTCGACCGATCTTCTTAATGGTAGGCCTTCTTTCTTTTGTGACTTTCAGCGTGTTTGATTCATGTGAGACTTGGCTCGAAACATTGAACTCTCTTTTGAAAACACGGTTGTTTACACTTACCATCGTGCTTTTTTCGCAAATGCCATTAAGTCAAAGTCAAAGTCATTAAGAGCTCGCCGGTGACATATCCATTTATATATATATATTGTTTATTTTAGGACAATGATGGTCTTAATTGGCAACTGTCAATGTCAACGATCTGTTTTCTGATTCAACGATTATTTACATTATCAGTTTCTCGTAGTTTGATTATTATGGTCATGGATGATAAGTGTCGCCTTTATTTTATGTATGGTTTGAAAGTTGCAATCGAGTTTAAGTACTCTGTTGCCAATGCCATGCTCTGTGAATAGCACCAAGCTTTTGTTGTATTGACAAGGGATATTGCTGTAGTATCTTGGATTTGATTCCCAATATATCAAATATTGTTCTTAATAAGGTTCATTTGAAGCTTCTTCACAGGGGTCCAAAAATTAGGAAAATAAACAAAAGGACTTTGGGTTAAATAATGTTTTAAAAACAGAGAAAAAAAAGGACTCAAATTGGTTAACTAAAAGGCAAACACTAGGAACAAAGTATAATGAATTATTGTTAGGCTCAAAAGCTTACTAGAGTGACTTCAACTTCAAGTCTCGTGCGTTTTTCAATTAATAAACCAATGAGATCCCATCACCAATTTTAAAGAAAACACTAATCATGTTCATCCAAGTATTAAAACCCAAACAAAAAATGTATTCAAAATTGACATGGTATTTCATAATATCAAACAAAATATTCAGGATGGAAATCATCATATATAAATCGAGAAACACCAAATTCAAGTAAAAACTAAAAACAAATCAAACACAAACTTAAATGAAAATAACCACTGATTAAAGGAAATAGAGTGTATCACTAAAATCTTCCCCCACACCTACCTTTACATGCTTTATCAAAAACTAATCTTACCTTGAGAATTTGGAACTTTTCTTCTTCGTTAGGTGTGGTGGCTTCAGCTTCATCATCGAAACGCCCTATCCTTCTTAGAGATCTGTCCATTGCATCCACTCTTGATGAAAAGAATACGAGTCAGCAATGACTCTTTGAAAGTTTAACCTAAAAAGTTAAGACCGACTGCTGCTGGCTTTCTGTGACTTAACCGCCACACCATCAGTTAAGACACTATAACTTTATTCTTACAGCAAAATTCCTAAACTAAATAAGATAACTAATTCATCAAGTAACTTCATGGCAAAAGAAAATATTAAATTTTAATTTTTTTTTGAATTAAAACAGTTATATTTATAGAATATGTATATTATCGATAGATTAAAAAAATTATGATCACATATTAATTTGTAATCACACATACTATTAAAAAAAATAAGAAGATAATTAGACAAAAGATTTGCGTCACATGAAACAAACAGTTAATAGATTATTAGCTGAGCAGTTGAAATATTGTTAGATATTGGGATAACGATAAAGAAAGACCCTTAAATGCACCCATCAAATTGAAGCTTACTGTTGCAGTCACCATTTGGAAGGGATGAGCTCGGGATTTAAATTGTGGTCTAAGGTCATATTTTCGGATGCGTTATATTTATTGTGGTTGGAAATGTAACATATGCTATTATGGTCACATTAAAATTATATATTTAAAATCATATATATATTAAAATATATTGTTAGCGATATTAAATAAAGTTTTAATTTCAATAGAGAGATTAAATGAAATATAATTCATTTAACATATAACAATGAATGATAGCTAAATGTGTCATGATTATTTTATAATTAAATTAAAAAATAAATAATTATTTTAAAATTTAATTATTAAAAATATTTTTATATACTTTAGGATAAATTATACTATATTTTTGTTCCGTTTTGTCTATTTAAATATTTTTTAAATTATACATAAAGTTACGTTTTTATTATGTTTTAGTCATCTATCGTAAAAAATTAATAGTAATTATGATGTGTCACCCTAAGATAATGTAACATCATCATTTAAAAAATATCACGTTAATATTTATGTTAATTCTTTTGGATGCACGAACCAAACGACCTCTGTAGTAAAAGAATTATTGTTATTCCTTGAGGTCCCGAGTTCGACCACTAGGAATGTTAGGGGTGTGAGCGTTCAATGTTAAATAATTGAGAATCTTTGAACATATACTACTTTGTATTTGCCCAAAATTAATAAAAAAAAATTGGATGATCAAAATGAAACTAAAATGTAATATCAAGATGATTTAAAAATAATAATCGAGTGATTAAAATGAAACAAAAGTGATAGTTAAGATACTAAATATGTAGTTATCCCCGTAATTTTAACTATCATCTGTGATTAAGAAAAAGCTAAAAAGGAAACTATTTCGGTCAGCTGTGTTACTCTCAGAGTTCTCCTTCACAGATCTCAAATCTACGAAGAAACAGCAGAAATGCAGGATCCGCAAAATATGAATCCGAACCCCGATCCACAAATTCTCTCGAATACACCATCAACCCCGCAAAATATGCCGTCTTTTCCTATACTACCCGCATTTCGGGGCTCTTACCACAGGCGAACCCAATCCGAAGTCCAATTTCGGATTCCAGACGACTTGGATCTCGTCTCCGACCCGTTCGACGGGTTAGGATCCGAAGACGACTTGTTTTTTAGTTACATGGACATTGAGAAGCTAGGGGGTTCATCAACCGGAGTCGACAAAGGAGAGGTAGCTGCTGGGTCTTCCTGCAATGGATCGGCTCAGAACCCGAAACGAGAGGAAATGACCGGTGGGTCCGACCACGGAGAGAAGAATAATAATGGAGGGAATGGAAGACATAGGTATAGTAATTCGGTTGATGGGTGCTCGATAATGGAGTCAATTGAAGCTAAGAAAGCCATGGCTCCTCACCAGCTTGCTGAATTGTGGGCTGTTGACCCGAAGAGAGCTAAAAGGTTTGGGAATCACTTATATTCCCCCCCCCCTTCCATTCTTTCGGTTTTAATGCATTTGGTTTAAGGTACTTATGAGATTGAAGTTGTTGTAAATTTGTAGCTTTTAGTATAAAGTTTTTTTTTTTTCTTGTTTTTTTTCGTTTCTTTAGAGTATACATGGAAACTATTAGAAGAAGATGATGACGTATTCTTGTTGAAAGAAATTGTATTTTTGGGTTATAAATGTTTATGGTAAATATATTTAGCTCTTTTTTCCCCCAGGAATTATGATGGTTTTGTTTAAGTGTTTGCTTATCATGATGGTAAAGCTGACTTTTTTTTTAAAATATTTTTTCCTTCTTTTTTGGCTGTTTATAAATGGGGTTTTGGGCAGTTTAGGTAGTAAGTGAGGAACGAAGTTGAAACTTCGTTTTCAATTTAGAAAGAATTTGAGGATTGGTAGAACTTCTAAAAAGTATTTCTTTTATTTAATCAATTCATGTCATTATATGAGTTTTTTTTGCCTAATTATAAGTGATGCTTTACGAATTGATGTTTCTTATCTCAATTTATTGTTTCCACTTCACTTTTCTCACCCCATGATGAAAGAAATTTTGTTATCTTAGGAAGTTTTATTTCGGAGAACTTATATGTATGCAATTTTATGAATCAAATTCATGTGAACTACCACTTATGGTTTA